AATCAGTTTTCCATAAATTAAATTTAGAAACTTTATATATTTGTTCTTTATCTACTTTAGGTATTTCCCATTCATCAATTGCTTTGAATAGCTTTACTGTAAATTCTTGCTAATATAATGTCATTCTATTTATTACCCTTTTATTTCTGAGTTATCTGAGTCATCAGATTTTAGATTTAATACTACTAACTGATCTACATAATAAAGGATCCATTTTATAATATCAATCAAGTAGCGGCCACTGCCAGTGTTATACCCTTCACTGCCCAACACAAAAGGGACTTACAACGGGTTCAGATCGGCATACCCAATACTTCTACATGATATTATGAAATAGATACTTATTATATAGAAGTTAATAATATTAAAGTCGTTTGGCTCTGATACCATTGAATAAATAAAAAAGGCAATAATCAAAACTCAAAGAATTAAAAAGCAACAAAAGAGAAAAAAAAAGAGACAACCACTCTGAAAAAAAAAATCATTAAAATTGAGGTATATATAGATAGGTATAGGTATATGAAGATAGATATATATATGAAAAAAAATTCAAAAAGTTTTGAAAGTTTTAATTTCAAAATTAAAAAATTTTAAAGTATTAATATTTAAAATTTTAGATATTGTTGTATATATTAGATTAAAAAAGAAATGCTTAAAATTAATTAAAAATTAGAAAATTTATAAAAAAATAAAAATACAAATGCTTAAAAAAAAAGTGCCAAGTAAGCTCCTTGAAGATTTTTTTCTGCTTCAGGATTTTATATATAATATATACTAAGTGAAGCCTCATGCATTGTGCGAATTGCTCTATTTATTGTATATTATCCTTTGTTTTGAAAATACTTTTATTTATAACTTTATACTAAATAAATAATAAAAATAATTGAAAGTATTGAAAGTATTTTAGATAAAAATAAATTTAAACTAAGCTTGTTAATCAATATTTGCTTGTAAAAGGATAAGTGTTAATTAGTATTTAATTTTTAGAAACTTAATATATTTTATCCAATTATAATTTGCTATTGATGCAAATATAACATTTCAAATTAATATATAAATTTCTGTGAATATTATGTAAGCTGATAATGTAAGTTTTATTTAGGCATCTTAAGTGATCTTATAAAAAAAAAGAAAAAAAATTTAAAATTCAAAATAGAATTATAGATATAGATAATTATTATAAATGAATATTAATTTTAAAATATAATTATTAAATATAAAATTTAAATTTAACTGATAATATCATTTTAAATATAAATGCTAAATTTATTTTTAATTTATTAGATGTTATCTTATAACTGTCTTTATTATTTTAAATGTATTTGTCAAATTTAATGATTTTTCCCTTTAATTAAATGGATTGTGTAAATGTTTACTTACTTGAATAGTAAAAAATTTCTCTAATCTCCTATCCTAGGAAACAAAATAAATTACAAAATAATAATAATAAATAATCAAATAATAGATAATAATAACTATAATAATAATAATAACTACACAACAAATTGAAAAATTACTACAATGAATATTCAATATTATATAATTGATTGTACAAAGATAAAAATAAAAAAATTATTTATCTAAAAAAAATATCTAATAAGTTATGAAAAATATTAATGAGTTTCGATTAATATCAATCCTATTTATCTTTTCCCTTTTCTCCACTCATTTGCTTGTATTTCAATTTTTTCTTATACCAAAAGAGAAAAAAAGAAAAGTAAGACTAAAGAATTGACATTATATCGATATTGCATTAACTCATGTGAAGAAAAATAGGCGGGATTAAAGTTGCTGTTACCGTCCTTTTGCAATTAAAAACATGAAAAAACAACAACAATAATATATCAAAATAAAAAAAACAAACAAATAAAGATTTGAGAGCATGATCAAAATCCAAAAAATTGAAAGCAAAATAATCCAACAAACAAAAAAAAGAAGAAACATTGTGAAGAAAATCATTAAAATTGAGAGATATATATATAGATATATGTATATAGATATAGAAAAGAAAAAGGTTGAAAAGTTTTAAATTTTTAAATTCAACTATTCAAGAAGTTTTAATTTTTAATTATCCAAACTTTTAAATTATATATATATATATATATAATTTTAAAGTTTTAAAATTTTTAATTCAACAATAAAAAAGTTTTTAAAAGTTTTAAAAGTTTTAAAATTTTAAATTCAACAATAAAAAAGTTTTAAAGTTTTAGTTATTCAAAGTTTTAGATTTTATAACTATACATATAAAATGAATGCTCAAAAATTATTAAAAAATGTAAAAAATTTCTAAAAAAAAAAAAAAGAAAATGCTCAAAGGAAAATATGCCAAATTAACTTTTTTTTTTAAAAAATTTTTATTTCAGGATTATATATATATGGAAAATGGATGTATATTTGTTGAATTATGGATGCCATGTAAAATGAAAAATGATATTTTGATTTTCAAAAAGACTTTTTATAGTAATCAGATTTAAAAATTAAAATCAATTTTTATTTAGATAAACTAACAAAGTAGAGGTTGGTGTCATGACAGGGTGAGCTTGGCTGCTTAACACCTTCTAAAACTCACATAGAGTGGCGGAGCTAGAAATATTTTCTAGTGGAGTCATTTTATTTAATTTTGATTTTTAGTGGGGTCAATTAGATTAAAAACTCTAAATTTTCCACTTAATGTATATATTTTTTAAAATTTTTTTATCAATTCAATCCTATTTTATAAATATTTTTTTAAAAAAACTGAGTGGGGTCAATTGACCCCACTTCACATAATGCGGCGCCGCTCACACATAACCTCCTTATCTAGACTTTAGTTAAGCAGTTGGACTCTTTATGAGCAATATAATCGCTACATAACAACTGTTCTTGGTTTCATCTGGACGGCGACTCCTATTCTTCGAGTGAGTTTTAACTCATTCCGTGTTCCCTTGAGGCTGTGAGCCTTGACACAGTGCAAAGCAGTCTTCTTATGCCAAAACCTATAGGAATCAACAAAAAGAAACTAAAATGCAAGTCTATGAAGCGGTGCAACAATGCGTTCATGAATGGAAATCTGCATCAATTTTGTCAAGTCTCTCGTTCAAGCCATGCAGCCTATGTTATACCACATTACGGGAGATCAACTAATGAGCAGTTGAATTACTTTGTAGATGGTGCCTTATTCCAACAACTTGGTTTAGATCAACTAATAATGTTTTTAATGATCAAGCCTTGTCAGAAAATGGATTAAAAGACTCAGTAACATGGTGAACCTGAAAATCCATTAACCAAAAGAGGACTTCTTGAAGACCAACAGCTTCAGCAATGCGAGGGGCCAATACACCGGAGTAAAACCCAGAACATGCTGCCTCAAAACTCTCAACATCATCGATTTAGCAAGGGAAGTTGTTAAAGTATATTTTATGTTTTTAAATTTAAATACAGTAAATGGAAAAGAAAAAGGTTCCTCGAGGGATAACCGCATAAAAAAAAAAGTATAATTGGTATTTATTATTATTTTTTATAAAATTAAGGTACTTTAGAAATAAATAAATTTTCAATTATAAATTTATTTGATACATAATTATTTGAAATTCAATTAAATTATATGTTTTTTTAAAGAAAATTAAATTATATATTTTAAGTTAACTGTATCAAATATAAAAAAATTTATTCACAAAAAAGGAGTGCAAATCATATACTCAGTTTGATTCCAATGAATTTCGATTTGGTTTGATTTCTTTAAAAAAAATTTATTCTGTTGGATTTGAGCTGGATTTGTTTACGTTTGAATTGAATGGATGAAATGCCAACACTTTTTTTTTTATCATTCGATATTATATACAATGAATCTGCACTATCGGCAGCAGTTACAATAATTTATAGCCTATCAGTGGGCGGTATAATTCATTACACTAACTTTTTTTTTTTTTCTCTATATATTACCCCTAAATCACATTAAGTACTACTCTAAAATGCCAATATCATTTATCTACATTTCTTGGATTAATATAGCTACAAATGTGTTGTCTCTTTTAAATTTTGGAGGGATTAACTGTATTTATTGCTTAATTAATGGGATATTAGCTTATCACATTAGAAATGAAAATTAAAAAAAATTCAAAACTTAATTTCGGGCTCTTTATTGAAATTATTTTGTTCACAAAACTTACCCAAAATTTATGAGCCAATTTTTTTTTTAATTATAAAGTTTCCTCGACTTCATAAAAACATGAGCATATAAATTTGGATTGGAATATAATTAGAAATTGTAATCCACAAATTTTCTTCTAGCATGAATCTATTGAATCAATTAGACCTCAATGATTTTCCTTATGATTCGTCCACAAACTCAGAAGTTGTTTCAATATGCAATGAACTTCCATTCAATTTAAATTTTTATCTAATAGAAGACGAGGTTGTCACCGAAGAGATAGTCAAAAATCATCCATCTAAAAATGCAAGAAGGACAAACAAACGAAAAAATATCTTTGAAGACTTGAAAATTTAATTAAGACACTGTCTTAAGTGAGATGCAAAAATATCTTTCTATATTCAAGAGGTCAGTGTATAAGATTTGGAAAAATGCAAAGAAGGACACAGACAACTCATTAATCTGACACAAATGCTTTCATTTTGGAGAACAAAAATAAGAACTGCACATAGTTTGATTATTATGATGAACTTACACAGTCAAAGAGAATTTGGTTTGAAATAGAAAATCCATAATTTCTCTTAACAATCAATGGTCAACTTATTCTCTGTCTGTTATTATCTTGGAATTTTCCAAAAGAAATAAATTAACAACAAAATACAACAAGGGTAAAAAAGACATTTCAATTGGGCAAAATTACCAAAATAAAGTAATTTTGTTGAAAAGTTTGTCTGTATAAAAAGAGGGGAGGGAGTATATTATATGATAAAAGTATATAATTTATTTTAATTTTGGAAAAAAAAAAAAGATTAAAAGTAGAAAATCTAACCAATGTCAAGAACCATTAGTCGCTATCAACAGCGTAGCTAGCAACTAAACAAAAGTCATTTCCAATGACAAAACGTCACCGATCGCAATACTTTCCGAACTCTCCAACATATTCTAGATCCTCACAGCGCAATCAAGTTTGGTAGGGCAAGGTCTCACTAGCATTTGCCTTTGGACCTTCCGCCGCTACCCACTGTTTATCTCTCTGATTAGCCTCCTTTTCCCTTGTAAGGTCTCTACTCTTTTCTTAATCATCTTCTTCGTCTTAGTCCTCATATGTTGATATTGATCTTACCCTTTTCATTTTTTCCATTCTAATACCTGCTTACTTTCTTGGGAGATGATCTGATCTTATCAGACCTCTATTTTTGATCTTTTAGGTGTTTGATTAAATTGAAGTAACCATTGCATAACACATTTTTAATTATATGTATATATATATATATATATACTATATGTCACCTGCTTGACTAAGCCTGGCACGAGCATATCTTCCTTGCTTTTTCTTTGTTTGTTTCTCTTTTGTTGAATCTGTTTGTGGGATTTTAAACACGAAATCTGAAGTTTGTCATTCATGGGTTCTGTTGGAGCTTTAATTAGTCATGCATAAGGACTATACTTACCCCCTTGTTTCTATTTACTATTAATTGCGTTATATTTGGTTTCTATTTACTATTAATTGCGTTATATATATTATATATTAATATATATATATCTATATATATTATATATATATATAATTTCTGGATTGCAATTTTCTGATTGCAATTTTACAATTGATTTGGGGATATTATGGAATATCTATCTATCTATCTATCTATCAATCTATATATATATATATATATATTTCTGATTGCAATTTTACAATTGATTTGGGGATATTATGGAATGAAAAATTATATGTTTTGTATTAGCACTGATTTGTTTACTCATCTTAAATGTAGAGAACATATTCTAGTGCTACTGCACACAGGTTTTCTTTTGTAGTTATTATTTATTTTATTTGGATTGTGTGTTTCTGTCATCCTGGTAGTTCAATGAGAAGGATTAACGCACGCCATGTAAGCTCGAGGTTCCTTGATGATTTATGATTCTGTTCTGTCTTTTCTGAATTTTATGAAGTTTAGCTGTCCGCTACAATTATTACCCAACTCAAAAGTTCTTTCAGTTGCTAGATTTATGATAATGGGAAACCACAATATAAACTATTTGTGAGTTTTTGAGCATTGTAGTGGTATCTTGCTTTACAGTATTCCTACTCAAAAAGCATCAAGAGCCTCCTTTTGCAGATTTTATATCATGTGTTATCTAATTTTCTTTAAAATTTGATAAAGCCCGATTGGAATTGTTTAAGTATGATTTATATAACACGTATAAGCCATAGATAAAAAGGCCAAATAAAAAAAAAAAGTTTGTTTATGCCTTGCTTGATCATGTCCCTTGCGTTTTGTGCCTGGTTCAGGAAGAAATATGTCGACTATGAGGGTGCCCACATCTTGCTTAATCAGAACCACACCCCCAACCAAAGCTGTGAGCCCAACCAAATCTTGTGCCTTGATCAAGGGTTCGTTTTCTCTGGGTTCTGCGAAAAATTTATCTAAAGCATTTGGTTTGAAATCTTCATCCTTCAAGGTTTCAGCAATGGCTAATGTATACAAGGTGAAACTAATCACGCCAGAGGGTGTAGAGCATGAATTTGATGCCCCTGATGATACTTACATCCTTGACTCTGCTGAAAATGCAGGAATAGAACTGCCTTACTCATGTAGGGCAGGGGCCTGCTCTACTTGTGCTGGGCAGCTGGTTTCTGGATCTGTAGACCAATCAGATGGGTCATTCCTGAGCGAAGAGCAAATGGAGAAAGGATATGTACTTACCTGTGTCTCATATCCAACTTCAGACTCTGTTATTCGTACTCACAAGGAGAGTGATCTCTACTAAGTCATGTAAGAAGCAAGCATGAACTTGCATAAAATCGTAGATTCGTACAATGTTCCGTGCCAGATTTATCGTTTGGTCTACCGTTTGTATTAGTTTTCATTGTTGAATTCAATCATATCTTTAATCTCAAGTTAGTCTTGAAAGCTTCAGTTCTATTGATTTCAGATTTATTTGTTGTTGAATGGGAATAAGGTTTGGTCTAACAATTTCATGGGAATGACAGTATTTTAGATTCCCAAATGAGAGTACTTTGGTTGAGCATAGATATTGTTTTATTGTGTTAGAGGTGTACTTGGATCTGCAACCTACTATTGTTCTGCAGTTAATCTATATATATTAATCTATATTATATCATATATATATATAAAAAAATATACACACATATTATATATATATATATATATATAAAATATACACACATATAGTCGCCATTGCCAACTATCGTTGGCAGTTGCCTAATCTTTTTCCTCCTAAAATTTTCTTCAGTCTTAAGTAGAAGAAACATCAAACTATTCATTGATAATCTTTTTAGGCAAATTTAGCTTCCTAAACTTATTTTAATTTTTATAAATTAATTGAAAAACCAAACTAATCAAATTAATCAAATCAAGTGAAATAAAATGAAATAAAAACCAAATTTAATTGAAAAACCAAACTAGTCAAATTGATTAAAATAAAAATAATTACTAATTTTTTTGCTTTTATTAACTAAAAAGGGGGTGCTTTTGCATTCGGGTATTTTACCTCAAATCGAACCATTAGATTTAAATCAAATCATGACCGAACAGACAACCAATTTACTGACTAAATTAGGAATGATCATGGATTGGATCACAGACAATCAATTTACTGACTAAATTAGGAATGATAATGTATCGGATGATCCGATCCATGAAGATATTCATATATTCATGTTCATATTCATTCTGTTCGGATTCAGTTTGAATGTCGGAGTGGATTAGCTCGGATTGGATATTATTCATTTTTATTATGTTTAAAAGAAAAATAAAAACAAAACAATGATTTAATAAAAAATTTATATTATTTACTGTGCTTGTAAAAATTGAAATATTGTATACTAAGACAACTAGAGGAGACTTTAAGAATTGTTAAGCGCAAAAGAAATCTTGTTTGCAGTTGAAATATTGAATTTATATTCTTTTACTTGAAGTAGAGATTAAAAAAAATATGAAAATAGTAAAAGAGTTGGAGATAATGATTTTAAAATATAAATAAAAAAGAAAGAAAAAACAGCAAAATAGAGGCAAATGCACGTCTAAAATTACAATCAACAATTTTAGAAATATAAAAAAAAACAATATTATCTTTCACGGATCGAATTATACTATATCCGTATCTAATTCATATTGCGCTGATTTTGTTTTAAAAATTCATATCCAATCCACCGTTATTCGTATTAAATTTATCTAGTTCTTTGGATCATATCGGACCGAATATTCAATGGATCATATCATTTCATCCCGAGCTAAATTAATCAATTTGGTCAAACTGAATGCTCCTCTCCATCTATTTACTAAAAACAGTAGGTCGGTTCTGTAGAAATGTAAAAGAGGCTTCTAGAGAGCTCTGTGGCTAATAAAATAGAAAACGAAGGGTTTTAGCAGGGTTTAGGAGCTGTTGTGTGTCCAAGGAATTCTCGTTCCTTTTCCCTTTTTGCGAGGCGCATAATAAAATATTTGCATCTGTTTCTCTCATCTTAAATCAATCCCACCAAAAAAAAAAAAAAGTGCAATCTCACTCAAAATTTAAATTAAAAAAAGAAAATCAAGAACTCGTGCAATTCAGGTTGTCGGGTTTTTCAATAAACCCTCTCTCTGGAAGGTACAAGAACGTTTCCCTCTCTTCGATCATCTTAGAATCTTAAGGTAATCTTTTTGTTTAACGATCATATGATTTGCTCTGGAATTTGGAATTCCATGCAATTCTTGGAATAGGATTACCATTTTTTTTTCTTGAATTTGGTTCACAAAGGAATCCGGAAGTTCTTAGAATATTGAAATGATTATCTTTGAATAACTTCAATTTTGTATTGAAATCATTATCTTTTTAAGCATTATTATGTTTATCCAATTGGTGTAGGATTCTTTGAATTTAGACAACTATTTCCATGCCCATTTCCATTCAAATTCCAATTCCAAGTTGAACCAAGCAACCTCTTAGATTTTTCTCATCACACCAGAAACACTGTTTCTTAGCCCTTCTCTCATCTATCTCTTTACTAGTCAAGGTTGGAAATCTTGATGAGGAATTTGTTTTTGGGTTGGTAACGATCCATTTTGGTTCTGGTTCCTAAGGTTTTGATTTTGCTTTTGATAATGAGTGATAGGTTGGTTCCGAGTTTGAGTTTTGTGGATCTGTGACTGAAAGTTTTGGTTTTGGTTAAAGGACATTGGATTTTGGTTGTAAGATAGTGAGGCTAATGGAAATTTGTTAGGTTTTGATTTCTGTTGGATTGCAGCAGCAGTTAAATTTTACAATCTGGCTAATGCATATGCATCAGCTAATGACACAAGTTTAAACATCCTAATGGGCATCTGCAATTCATCTTCCTGAAAGGAAAAAACTCAAGGCTTGGTTTTCTGTGATTCCAGCTTTAGGGTAAAGTTCATTAAAAGAGTCCAAATACTGTTGTAGTGAATTATTTTGCCTCAGGTTTCTCAATTCTGCCAGTGGATCATCAAAAGCTTGATTTCAAAACCTAGCATTCAAGAACTTCACATACTCCTCCCAATTTGTATATACACCTTCTCCTTTCAATTTCAAAAAACCCTAATGCCATTGCATTGCCTTCCCATCTGATTGCAATGCTGCTATCTTTACTTTGTTTTTAGGATGCACCCTTCCTACTTCAAAGTAATACTCAGCCCTTAATAACCAACTCTTTAACCCTTTCCCATTAAAATGAGGGAACTCCATTTTTGGACCATTCCCAATTGAATAAGAAACGACAGCAGTTGAATCATTCACCACAGGCTCTAATGGATTAGAAGTATTACCTGTTCAATTCATTGCTTCAGTTTGCTGTCAACTCAAACCACAATTAAGTTCTTAAGCTAATCAACCATACTTTTCATTCTGCTCTCCTGTCTATGCTCAGATTCTAGCACCATTGCAGCTAATTCCTTCCTAGCTGCCTCTTGAGAAGGAGTGTGAGTACCATCACCCATGGCCGGGAACCAGTGACTCTGTACCAGTTAATAAGATGGAATCTTTTTAAAGAAAGAGAAGAGAAATCACATAGAATAGAAGAGGAAGAAGAAAGAGAAACTGTTGAGTATTTCTCAGAAAAATATCAGAATGAATTCACAATTACAATAGAATTCCTATTAATACCAAAATAACAAGATTTTAGATTGTTAAAGACTTCCCGCCGTTGATAACAGCTTCTTCGACTGTGCAACAGTTTGATAACAACCTAACAATCCTCACTGACGTGGCCTCTGAGGACTCAGCCAGTTTATTATTCAATCTCTAGTCCAAAACGCTCCATTTTATTAAGCCATTCAACTCACCATTTAGCTAACATCCTTTACTTGTAATTTAAAGTCAATTCATATCATAATTGTATCTGTATTGTTGCCATCAATGTTGTTTCAATATGGGGTTTTGTGATATTTGTTCAATCCAAAATGTTGAACTGAATTTTGGTTGAAGAATTAAAATTGCTTAAGGAATACCATGGGTTCCTGTAATTTATTGTTGGCATTGAATTTGGAATTCTTTTCAATTGTTATGCTTAACATTTCAATTGCTAAAGGTAATCTTATATTGGAGTTACGTGACTGGCATTGCTGATGAGATAATAGTTGGGGCCTCTTGTTGAGCATTGGAGTTCGCTTCTCTTTGTCTGTTGCATTGTTTCTTGGAATGCATTTCCAAATTAGGGAATTTTACCTGGTTTTAATGACGATATTAATTTTGCGATTGTGTAGTATTAATGTCCCTTTTTGTTTTTATTTCTTTTGCATATGACAAGGGTTTTGCTAAATTCTGGAAACTCCAATTTTATATCTCCTTAATTACTTATTGTCTTTCTTCTTTGTTCTGTTTAAATCTTTCAATTTGAATTTCATTTCACCAATTTGTCAAACCCAGGGGCTAATTACAGTTAAACTAGCTTGTATGGTAAAAATATTAGCATATATAATTCTATAAAGAATGCCACCTTCATCCCTTTTTTTTTTTTTTTTTCAAATCTAGACTTTGTATGGTAAAATATTAGCATTAATATAAATCCTATAAAGAATGCCACCCTTTTTTTTTTTTTTTTTCAGGGTAAATTTTAAGAGAGAAAATACAAGAAGTTGAGGATGCCTGCCATTGCTGCTAGGGCGGCGTTGGCTGCTTCCACTACTCAGGCCTCTCGCCAAGCCCTCAAGCCAAGTACACTTCTCATTCCAGGCATTGCTACTGCAATTGCTGTTCATCGGTACGTGTTTTCTGTTTTTCCGTGGACATTGAACAAGAGTAATTAGCTCAAAAGCATGATGGAAAAAGATAGCAATACCCTTAAAATTATGAGCATAATTTTTAAATAATCATATTATCCTATGCCTATAGTTTTATACAATGTATCCACTTTTGTTTCTATTACATTCTTGTTTTAAAGAATTGAGCAATATTGCAGTATTATGTGAATCAACTCAGATTTGTTTTCGTAGAAGAATTTCACTTTCAGGGCTAGGGATGTGAAATTTTTGTTTTTCTGTCTGCATAATCAACTTAATGGATTGGTGTGTTCTCTCTTTTGGAGAGAAAACCTTTTCAGAATTTTAGAGTGTCTGAAAAGACTGATGTTGAACTATATAATTGATGAAAGATAGAACCTAAGCAAACTAAATGGTGGATGAATTCTCTTATTTATTCATTTGATATATTTATACTGATATCTATTTATCGCTTTGTCATTGGCAAACAGATATAAGGATGTGATTGTGGATGGATGCACCAAGGCTTTAGAGGCACGTAAGCGTTTGTCAGCTAGCCCATTTGTGGCACATTCATCTG